ATGATCCGTCTTCTTTGCGGATTGGTGGTACATAGGCTCTGGGCTTTTGCATTTGTTTTGTAGCCTTCCACAACAAATAATTAGTGTCTTCGTTGCGGAAAGATTACTCAAGTAAGATTTAAACGTTTCGTTTTTTACTTCTTTTATTTTATCATGTAAAAGTCTGCAAGTGCTGTGCCAGATAGTTTTGTCCAATGGATCTCTCGTACGATACAATTTTTTCCTTGCTTTTCGTTTTTTCTTTACTATCTCCCTAATTTCCATAGGGTAGGTGATTTCATGATTACTTCTTGTTGATATTTCAGGTGTCGCCAATTTTGCTGCCTTTATAACATTATTAGTTAGTTGTTCAATAGCGCTATCAATTTCAATTGGTGTTCTAAGCTTTACAGAGAGGGTTACCATTTCATCTAGATTAGATCTAAATAGGTCCCAGTTTGTTTTTTTTATTGTTAAGCGATACCTTACGTTGTTTTACTATGAAATTTAAGCTTAACGTGAGAAGCACTGGTATGTTATCCGACGTCAATTCCACCAGTTCATTTATTTCGACATAATTATAGAGGATATACCTTTCATTACAAAGAAATCAAGTAAATCTGGAATCTTGTTCTGGTCAGATGGCCAATATGCTGCTTTTCTAGTAGAAATTATTTCAGCGTTGGTATTGCTTGCAGCTTTTAATAGAGCACGTTCTTTGGGGGTGATAAGCCTTGAACCCCAATGAGTATGTTTAGAATTATAGTCTCATCCAGCTCTGAATCTAGCACCCAAGGTAAGGAAAAATTCAGTGAACTTAATTTMATCTGCACCACCTTGCGGTGGACAATAAATTGCAGTTTTTTTGCAGATTGTTAATACCGCCATTTACGACAACGCTGGTAGCTTGTATATGGTTTTCAGAATATTTTTCGTGTTCATAGTGGTTTATGGACTCTTTTATTATTACAGCAGAGCCACCACGAGCTCTACCACTGGGATGTGTAGTATACGTTCGGTAGTTTCTTATCTTCAAGAAAGTCAGCGTTGTAAAGTGTATTTCTTATATAAGAGCAATATCAATGTTTTCTCTATGTAGGAGATTTTTAAGCTCCTGTTTACGCTGTACTAGCCCATTGGCGTTGCATGTAATGATACTAAATGTATTGTTCATTTCTTTTTTTGTTTGGTGTTTTTGGACTTAGCATGTTTTGTTTCTAACTTGTCCATTCTCGCTGTAATATTTACTAGTGTTTGTGTTACATTAGTTAACGCAACTAAAAAAAAATTAAGTCTTGGATCGTTATTTTCCTTAGGTTGTTGTATTAACATTTGAGGTACAGACTGGTTTTATCTCTTGAAGCACTTGAAGTACTAGCCATTTGCGGGTACGAAATGTTTGTTGTGACTGGCGGTAGTCAGAAAAAAAAGCCACTAAAAAAAAATCCACGGAAAAAAAGCCAAGAAAAAAATCTAGGGAAAAATAATCCAGGGGAAAAATCCACGGGAAAAAAAGCCAAATAACAATAATTAAATATATAACAATTAAAATTAAACTATTAAATTAGGTATTATTTAAAAATTGTTTACACATTATTGGTCATATATATATATATATATTTTTATTATTAAATCATGTAAATAAAATGTCAATCTATATAACTGGTAAAATTTTCAAGTATCTACGGCTTATACCAGATTCTATATATAATATATATCTATATATCTATATAGATCTTGGTTCCATATTATTATTTATTTATTTATTATTATCATAACCACGGTAGTGTAATTCAACTATCATTAATTGATCTATTTAATCTAATTAATCTATTCTGTGATGAACTTACTGAGATCCATAATCCATTACCTGAGCTGAGATCTAAGAATAATAGTTATATCTTATATATAGCTTTATTATTTATTCATTATTGGTTTGTGATAATAATAATTRTGTTGATATGCTTTGCCACATAATATGGTCGAAGGTGATATGCGTTAAACGTTATCAATGTGTGAAATATTGAAATGTAATCCTGAATGTTTTCGTTTTGTTGTTTTGTATCTTTTTAAAAATTTTCGAAATTTTATGTTACTYTTACGACATAAAAAATATATATGTACAATGAGTATACTAACAATGTATTCGACAAGTTTATGTAAAAAGTTCTTGTCCGGTTCACTTTTACATGACCTGAGTAGATCGCTGAACGTTGACTCAATCAGTGCACTAAACAATAGTTTTCTAGGTGCAAAGTTGTTCAGCCACAACACGACCAGCATTGGAGTTCAATCACAACAACCGTCGTTTCTGCGTTCTGGACCTAACAGTATTACTTGCACGACGTCAATCGATGTACGCCGSCACTATTGCAACAAGAACTACAGACCGTTCCCAGAAGTTCCGGAATTTCCACCAATCGTTTGGCCCAACGTTTTCAAGTCACTCAAAGCTCTGCTGTATTCGTATCTAATAATCAAACCACAACTGGACAAAGACTTCAGTCTCGGAGAGTTTGCCAAAAACTCCAGGAAGGTTTGTTTCACATTTATATGTTTTTAATACCATTTATTTATTTATATTAAACGAGCTATGCCCAATTAAAATTATTGTGTAAGACTAGTATTTAAAAAATACAATAAATTATTATTCAAACTTCATTAATTTATGTGCATAACATAGCAGGCACTTTCCGATAGACAAAAGGCAAAGTAGCATTTGACATTCCCAAAATATATAGTTTTCAATGTATACAAATTACTCTTATAGTCTTATTGTCAACAAAATATGTAATAATGATCAAAACTTTAACTTACTGTTATGAGCAGAAAATACAATGACCATATAGAAAATTATTATTATTTACGGATAACCATAACTAATACTCTTCTATACCTACTCTGAAATATCAAATTTATTTTTTTGATATCACTTAGGTATACAAAAAAAGTTTTTATTGTTTCAAAATTCATTAATTTTGTGTTTTTCAAACTTGAATTACTTTGTTTGTAGTTATGATACCGAAAAAATAAAAACAATATTTTTCATTACCAAAGTTCTTCTTTTTATGTGRTAAAAATATTTTTCTTTCTTATGAATGTAGTCTTTTTGGTTCTTTTCCGATTAAAACAGTTTTGCTATATTTCACATTTGTAAGACAACACATGTGGGTGTAGTGWCCTCTTAAGTATTTTAAATTATGAATATTTCTAAAACGATTCAAATTAAGATTAAACGTAAATATTAATTAAATGCAAATGTATGAAACAGTACTTTCTTAGGTTAGCTCRCCTATTTATGATGTAGTCTCATTATAAAAAAAAATAAGTCTGTAAAATTGACTTGTTTTCCCAAACTTATGAATAATATGCTCGATAATATGGCTATAGAAATTTTTAATTTATAAAAWTTGKACCCCTTCTTTGATAACTGTCTAGAGACGTAATTGGTAACTTATTAAAGTATATTGTATATTACTTTCATAATTAATAATAAATTATATAAATTGATAATTAACATAGATAAATTAAATTATTTGGATAAAAATTAAATCGTTAGAGGTATAAGAAAACAAATTTATGTTAATATTTTTAATTAGCTGCATCAATATATTGATACTTAATTATAATTTTAATACTGATATGGCACATTAAAASTGGTTTCAATTGTCTGGTTGTAAAACTAGGATCATAAAAGTTTAATTTGGCAAATAATTCTAGGTAGTTAATACAGTAAAACCTTACCTTATAATACGCTTCCATTACCTTARTTTGAGACAGAGCCTTAGTTAGGAATTGTCTATGGAGAGGATCCATACCTCTTTTATACTGCCTCTTAAAAAAATTTCCTGTTCACCACATAGTAAAATGCATTCAATGATTGAAATTAATTTGTTTCTATTTTATTTAATTATTTAAACTCTTTATCTATATCTTTATATTATCACAATGCACTACAGACACTATCAATACACCTTGAGTACTATACTATAAATTTACTATAAAATATAATAATATATAAAGTATTTATTCAGTTAAAAAATAATTGAACCTCATAAACCCTCCTCGTAGCTACAGCCCTGGTTTGGGAACAAATTGAACTCTATGAATTGCTGGCAAATTTCAGTGATTGAGAGTGTCTGATATTTAANCAAGTATATGCGAAATACATACTTCTTGTATTAGGTATGTAATGGTATTTATTACAATATTTTTTTAATTAAACAGTAGGTTTTTTCAATATTTATGAATTGTGTATAGGTACATATTGTCAGAATTTTACGAGCTTAAAATAACTTTCAAGGCGCGCTATTATCAACCTTCTGCATATCCTGAAAAAGAGGCCTGCGCACGCCTATGGAGTATGTGTTAATATTATTGTATTGGTCAGCAGTTCATCGTACATAATGTTAAGTGTGTAGACGTGTAGTACATATATATGTTACCGTCAATGTCATAAATTCAAGTAATGATGATATTGACTAGCCAATTAATATAATGCCTGGGTAACTTGGTCATTATCTACAATCAACATATTATATTTGTAACATTGACTTAATAAATCAGACTATGTCGTAATTTGATAGATTGACTAGTTAGTAGGTATAACATTTCCTATCGTCTTGTAGTCAATGTTATCTTTTATCGTTTCAACTTTAAAAACCCRCGTCAAGCTTATCTGTTTTGTAACGAATAATAATAGGTATCTTTTATAGTTTTAATACTCACGGCAAATAACCTAACATGAGTATTGTTACAGTTTACGTTGTACTTTCGTATAGTATAATTTAAAGTTAATAGTTTCGTATAGCTTTTCGTTTCGAAAAGTGTTGAAATATTTTATAAAAACATGAATTCAAATGAAATGCGTCAAAAATTTTACAACACATTATCTGATTTATTGAAAAATAAACGGAAAGATAATAAATCATTTTTAAATAAAGAAGAATATATGTTAAGATTGCAAGAAGTTAAATTAGCTAAGGAAAAACTTGGGAAAAAAAGTGCAAAGGATTATAGATACATTCGTAAGTATGATATAATAACACTCAATGGGCAAGAACGACTTATTAAATCTATAAGTAATAATTCAGAAAGTCTACACTATTATGTATCAAATGACGAATTATTTGATATTTTACACGATAGTCACATTGCAATAGGTCATGGTGGTCGGGACCGCATGGTTTATGAATTGAAGACAAAATATTGTAATATTATTTAGAAAACTATYATGATATATTTAAGTCTTTGTATGCATTGTGAAAAAAATCATCAAATCCAAAGCGAGGCCTAGTTTCTAAACCAATACTTCATAATGCATTCAATTCACGAGCCCAAGTTGATCTTATATTGATATGCAAAGTNTAGTTAGATACTATTTTTTTAATTTTCGTGAGCAATTATTTGCATATTAATATATTACTTTTAATTTGTATGATAACATCTTAAAAATCTCTTCATTAAAAACAATTTTAGGCACATTAATATTGTAATGTTATGATTAATATATTACATTGATGAAATGAAAACAGTACATACACTTTTATCAAGAGAAAAAATTAAGGAAGTATTTTTATGAAATATGTAACATTACCTACATCACAAAAATCCAAGTAAAGCGAGTGTTACTTAAACAAATCAAGTTTATGAGAGGTTAGAAAACCGAGCTAAGCGAGTTGAATCAATATTATTTATGAAATATTTTCATACAATAATTTATTAATTATCCATTATAGTTTGAAATCTACAAATTATTTATTTATTTTTGGATAAATTTTAATAAAACATCTTTTAAAATCACTCAACACCTCAATATATCATGCTAGACTAAGACTATTTACTGAACTACTATATAATAATTTTAAATTAATATTTAACAAGCTTTATCAGTCATTAGACTTGCAGCAAAATGTCATGTTATTTTTATTTATATCATAGCAGCGAACACTCATTATTATCGATAGTTTTGAGTGATGTAATGAATGCATTAGTTTTACATCAATTTTAAAACCAGTCAAATATATCAGTTCCTCTTTGACTCTTAGTTTATACACTTAATAATATTTTTATTTTTTTTTTTAAACCGCCCAAAGGCTTTTTTATTATAACAATCAATGATCTTTAACAATACATTTAAGAAGTGTACATAAATATTAAATATTAATATTAATAAATTAATGAATAAATATTTAGTAAATATATACAAAAAACATGTTTGGGTTATCACTCTCAATGGAGAGGTCCCAGCCTTAGTCTAATAGTTTATACCAAGTCATATGGTATTCGGCGTTTGAGACGTCTAATGTCTTGAGAATTATCAAGTAGTTGAATTGCTGTTGGATTGGTGTGTTTATCTAGTGTTTTATGGCAAACTTGGTAATCTCGTCCTGGACGGAGGTCATCATCAAATCTCGGTGAATAATGTCATTTCTATCGTACCGGTATGCTGCGACAATAGTACGGAGAGCAATGTTTTGGCAACGTTGGATAATCTCAATATTGGACTTACTGGCACAGCCCCACAGCTGTATTCCATAGGTCCATATTGGTTTAATTATCGCTACATACAAAATACGTCTG